AAAAATCATACGGCCAATTATTTACAAATTATTAAGAGCACTTCTAAATTTATATTAATTTAAGTATACAAAGCATGTTTTAATTTTTTTTAAGAAAAAGTGATCAGAATTTTTTACAAGATTTTCTGGCCGTAAGTTTATATCCTTGCCAATTTTAAATAATTTAAATAGAGTTTCTCCATAGAAATGTATCTAATTATAAAACTAAAATTTTATTTCTAAGAATGTCCCTAAAATTTTAAGACACGTTTACCTAAATAATGGACATATTAAAATTCCTGTTTAATTTAATACTATTATTAAGTTCCAACCCTCCTCCTCCCAAACTTTTTAGACAGTCATAAAAGCGTGATTTTTACAGATCAATGTGTGGGGGGGGATAAGGATGATAATCTTATTTTTTCTGCTTCTTAAATCTTCAAAACATGCTTATACTCTGAAAATAGTTTATTTATTCAACCATATAATAGTATTACTTCTAATTATTATTCTTCCGTGTTCTTTTTAATAAATTCTGAAGTCGGAAAAAAATTACTTTTGAGTCAAAGATAATATTCACAGTCCTCTAGTGTAAATCAATTACTTTTCATTCAATGTTAAATACAGTAAATTGTGCCATTCCTAGTTCATTATGACGTATAAAAATTTAATCACGCAAAGTGAGTGAGAATATGGTGAAGCATTGAATATCGCAAAATGGGTGATGACACAGATAATTTTTATCAAATTGCAACTGTAGCATTTTTTGCTGAAATAAAAGGCCATTTGATTTCATAAATAATTGCATTATATATATATATATATATACATAAACTTTTTAAAGAAGCATGCAAATATCATACAAAAAGAGGATAACCTTCATAAAATTGGGACTTGTAAAACACATGACTTTTAACAAATTTGGTGAAATCAATGCAAAAACTACATTTTTTTTTTTTTTAACACATTTAATACAACTGATCACATACACGAGTACATTTGTTATTCTGATAAATAGTTTTGAAATGAGACAATCTAAAACGTATTTTAAAATTAGAATATAATGCATTGTTGACTAATTGTGATATTGGTTGCTAAATAACACGGAAACATTACATTTGTGGTGCCTCAATTTCAATAGTATGCGACTACATTAAATTTGGTAAAACACCATTTTCAATAATTTGACCGATAAAACCAAAGTTTATTTTGCTTTTATTTCAACTTTCATATTATTCTATTCTCTGTATTTTAATGTTGGATCATAGCTGCAAGCAGCTGTATTATTGGCTGAGATTTATTTTTGTTATAATTTAGTAAAGAAAGAAAAATTACAGCATTATGTAACAGAATTTGTTTCAAACGTATAGAGAATGTATTTGTTATAGTATGACTACGATAAACCTGGAACCCCATTTAATTAGTTACAATTGTAAGGGGTATATTAGGGTGTTGACTCATAATAAAATAAATTCTTATCGGAAAACTTGATCAGTTCAAACTTTATTAGAAAAAAAA